GTTGTCAGAATCATCAGGTCTGGTATCCAGACTAACAGGCCACGTCCGAAGCGCATGCCTACATGCAGCTGGAATAACACTTCAAGAAAGCAGCGCGCCAGTATGCGAGAATCGGACCGCCAGCTACCTTGCTTTATGCGTTTGCCATAGACAGTTGATCATTGAAAACACTTCCAACCGTAGACAAGTAATTTGCACACAGTCGGGCCCGATATTAATACCTAATGTTCCCATTATCCACTGGATGTAGGTATCACTCTCATTAGGGGACAACGAGCCGATGTAATGAGTAGGCTAGGCTTTGAATCTAGCACTGTGAGGTCGGCAAACTTTCGAGCGTTGCAGTCTATGAGGTTGTGAGAAGGTTGTGCGAGGAAGGAAAACCTTCCTTTGAATCCTCTTTTACTTGGCGATGTCAATTGATTTGTAAAGAGGTTTCCAGGAGGGGGTCTGGGGTGGGGTGGGTGTCTCCCCCCCCCCTCCAGCAACTTTTTTAATGCTTGCGTATAACGTTTGGAAGAACCCCTGAAAAGCATAATCCACATAGGGGTTTTATTATGTGTGTCCAGTTAAGGACAAGCAAAGGTGTAATTATTTCAACAACTTTTCGTATAACACCCCAATCTGAGAGGTTTTTCACCCGACTGTTTAAAATTTTTCATTGAATAAACTATTTAAATTTTTCAGGTTCTCCGTGTTCGGTACGACCATCGCTTCGCTTCGGTAAACTTGTTGGGTAAACCATTGGGGTAAATTTCGGTCACTCGTATATTCCTGGAAGAGATTGTTTTCCTCGTCAGCGCGCGACAGTGAAAGCTCAACAAGAGCAAGCTATTTAATAACAAATTCCTTTTCTAAAGCTCTCTCGCCAAAGCTTTGAGAAGAGGCATTATGTTTTCTCGCTTTTCCATCTAGCCGGCACGGATTCCAGCCCCTCCGCCATTCGACTTTCTGGTGTCTCCGCAGCGCATTTTTTTTCACGAGCCGAGTCTTTAGGGGTTTTCAGAATAAATCTTTGCAGTCGTATTGACCAAAGATTGTATAGCGCCGCACAGCGCGGCGCTATGCAATCTTTGGTATTGACACCAATGTTGTGAAAATGGAATATTTCATTCTTGCGCAGCGCCCATTTTTCAAGAAAGTCAACAAAAAAAGGTATATTTTTTCCACTACCTGTTCTCACAATGCACGCAGGCTGGGCCGGGCGCGCACGTGTGGACTTGAACTTTAAATGAAAGTAACAACAACTTGAAAACGGTTGGTCAGATTTAATTCTAACCTCACATTTGTACTGATAAAGAGTGTCTTTACACAAGCTATGTTTTTTAAAGGGCATGTGACAACCTAGCTGATCGCCAACAGCATTCACGAAAACGTGTAAATCCCATCACAGTGGGCATATTTTTTTCCACAGGCAGTCAGCCATTTCTGTCTTTAAACGCCGGGGGGAAACCATCATAATGGCACATCAAAAGCATGAAAAAAATGGCACATGAGAAAAGGGGAGCCGGATGTGTCGCCTCTGGATTGTCATATTGGTTGGCTGACACGTGAGGATCAGGACGGGAAGGCCTACCAGACGCGTTCACTTCCGTGCACCGCGTTTTGCGGTTTCATCCACCGGAAAAGATTGGTCACGTGACCATAACATTGAATGGTGCTCCAAACCTGTCATAATTATGAGTGAAACGCCATACATGACAAAATTACAACTTTGAAATATTCGGTAACAAAGTAGTGGTAGGCGACCGACACATTTAATTCCAGACTAAAATATTGGAGGAAAAAAGAATAACAGAACACTAAAGGGCAAAGGATTTCTTTTAAAAGCAGAAAAATAAAATATTGAAATTTGGAAGTCATGACTTTTGCATGCATAAAATTGGAGATTCTCAAAACTGTTTTGCGCTTTGATTTCCCCTTGTAGAAAACATTCTGGCAAGGCTATGCCTAAATATGTATATTGGTCGGAATTTTCACCCCCAGTACGTTAGTATGATCATAGAGCTACAAACCCAAAAATTACCCATCGGTTGCTACAGATAATTTCTCTGTCACATACCGTTGTCATGTCTGGCGCTCCGTATACCTTCCGCCGAAAGTAAACTAATTCCCATAAACGCTGTACAACAATTTGTGAGGGCCTGTTATCATTTCCAGAGTCCAGGTGACTAAGAATTAACACAAATTATTGTAATCAAGTACATGATCATAATTTGGTCATTCTGAAGTTGCAAAAATTGTTCCATTAAGATTTCTTTGCTAGTCTTGTTTGAAGCTGAAATCTAGAACAACGTGGAGGTGTTTCCTGATCAAATTCATAAGTCAAAGTACAAAGATGGAAAAAATCAACCTAACATGACAAAGAATAGTTAGAATTAAAGAAGAAAGATTTTGAAAGGCATTTAAGTTTCTCTGGCTTGTTTTAATGTGTCCAACTCCGATTTACCGTCTATAAAACGTCAGGTTTTAGAGTCTCGCAAGACTTTTTACAAGCGGAGCGATAATAAAGGGTGAAGGGTCAAATCAGGGCGAGCTTGACTACTTCCTTGCTGTACTACAGTGTGTTCGAGTGAGCAGCGAACATCCCGGAAAATACCGCTTTTTATTAAGAAGGAATTACAGCAAAGTCGTGTTCTTCCGGCTTCGCATAGCTGTTGGTGTTTCACAGGCCTAAGAAGGACCCAGTTCTGGTGTAATTTTTCGGCAAGTGAGATTCAGTAGTAATTTCGATGTTCCACGGGTCAGTACAAAACTGGCCTGGGAACATGCAGTGTTGAAGTTGATGCTGCACCCCGCTTAGCTGCATTACATGCGCTAAAACGTGTGTGCTTGGAATGCATTGGTAATCCGAGCGTCTGCTTTTAGTGAGGAAGAACTTTGCTACAGAACAAGTGTCCCCAACTCATCCAGTTTGTCGAGAAGGAAAAGGACAACAGTCGTAATTACTTGGTTGTATCTTAAAATCACTGGTCATGTGGCAGTGTTGAAACTGAAACTGACTGTGGATTTGTGATGTTTCATGTTATAGGGCCTAATCATGCCTTTGACCATGACAGTATAACTGTAAATTGACTGTCATATTTGATTGGCATGTCTCAAACCGGTTGACCAGCATGGTGGGTTTGTCATCACGACGGGGATCAGTGTCCACCGGAAGAACAGTAAAGGGTTAGTCACAGTATTGGGCCCACTTTCTACATGTTCTTGGTCCCTTCAGAAACGTGACTGCAGTTTTGCTGATGATGTGAGGACTTTCTTATTGCCATGATCCAGCAGTTGGCAACTTTATTGTTTCAGTGATAAATGTTTTAACGTGAAGCTGCACATATTCAACGGAATCATGGCGGCCAAACTGCGTGAACTGGTGAGCAAGAACAAAACTCGGTACATCGATGACAACTTTGACCTGGATTTAACTTGTATCCTTTGCAGTGAATGAGTACTGAGTGAACATTGAAAATTGAAAATGAATGAAAACAGGAGCTAAAGTGAGGTCATTATTGTCCCACTCAGTACAGTTCCAAAATACATCGTTTGGATCTTGTCACAGGTTGAGTGCAGTCAGTCGATTTGTACAGTCAGAGTATCATGCTGCTTTGTTGATTCTGTTGCAAATCTTGGACTTTATTGTTCCATTTTGAATCAGTGTTTTACAAAGCTGAATCTGGGGGCGGGGAAAAATGGGTAATCGGCTGAATGCAGAAGGAGTGACAGATAAACGGACTGTGCTGTGCTTGATGAATTCTTTATTGGGTTGTATAGACTGCATGTCATGCATATTGACCCTGACAGTCCGTGATCCTCAAACAGTTCAAAAACTGAGGAGTGCTAGAGTTTGTAATATAGACCCCCTGTGTATGACGTCACATTAGAGGGCATTTCTTTCTTCCTCTAGGATAGGTTCGAGTAAACCATTTGTTCATTCATTGTCATTAAATCCAACTAACAAACGTCCTCTGGGAGGGCACTCCACGCAGGCCCTCTATGCTAGAAGACGTGCCTGCATAATTTGAGCTCCATGTTCTTAAGCAGTTCACTCATTCTTTAGTTGAGGCTAGAAATCGGTCACGGGTTCCCCGATTTTGCTGCTCTACAGGATTGGCATCAAGAACACACTTGAGTTAACAGTTGGGAACCAGGAAATGAATTCCATACACCGACACCGCTTGGCAACCCGTGCACAGACCTTGAAAAATTTTGACTTTTTTGAAGACGTGTTATTGCTTTCAGATGGCTGATGGGTTACCACTGGGAAAAGTGGTGTCTATGTTAAGCCCTATCTTGAACGTTGCACAAATTAATTGTAGCGGTACCCCGTCCTGAGTTGATTTGCCTTTGAATAACACCCATTCGTGGGATAATCAACCCATAAGGGGGTACACTAAATTTGTGCAAGTTCAAGATTGCACTTAACCTCTGTCTGTGGAATTCTTTCTGGAACTGGTTATCGGACTCTACCGGTACGACCCTTGCAAACTTCATGCTAAATCATGAATCATTTAAAAAAGTGGAATTTATGTGTTATTCAGAAAGCAGTAATATTCGAAAAAGTTGAACATTAATAGGAAGAGCACTGCTAATACGACACCATCCCAAGATCCTTGTTATTTATAGTGTTCCACTGTACTCAAGTACAGTGCCCCAAAATGACAACAGTTTCGCGAGAGAGGAAAGAAACTCACTCCTCAAGAAACTCACAAGGGATTCAGCCCATTACCTCCCAGTCCACAGAACACTGTTATCCTGTTATCAACTGTTTGAAAACTGCAACCTTAAGTCATTTCAAATGACATGAGGTCTGATGCTTGCGTGACTTATTGCAGCCACCGGTTTCTAGTCATTTTGAGTCTGTGAACTTCTGCACAGCATGGCCTCAGGTGTCAAACATGCCAGTCTTGCATTTAAGACAAAGCATCGATTCCGTAGTTCAGGTGAATTTGTGTCTTTGCATGCGCACCGCGCACACGCACGAGGCCCAGTTCAAACAGCTTACGACCAGCCTGTTTCTTAGTTGTCATTAAGGGTGCACTTCAATTTGGGATGCATAAGAAGACCGGTTGAACAGAAATGGGGAGTTGGTGCCAGATACTTGCTTGGAACCTTTGGTTGAGGCAGTCTTAACCGTTGTTAGAGGGCATTGTTCAGGTGGGTTTTTTTTGGGGGGGGGTAAGGGTTCCATATGCAGACATCACCCGTTTTTTCCCTTGCAGTGGTTTACTGGCCATCAGATGGTGATTATACACATGTCCTAAAAGGTCAAATTGAGCAGGGAAAATATTGAATCATGTACTGAGGAAGTGCATACATGTAGCTTTTTAGACTAGTGTCCTAGGTTTTGTGCACAGGGTGTCATGGGACTCTTCCCTTTTTTCTACCATGTAAATTAGCAAATAATGCCTTAAGTGTACTCTTCAAACGCGGTGCATTTGTTCTGCGGATGGGAATGTAAGTTTTGTTTGATTAACATCTAGAATAACTTTCCGCCACCCTTTAAATGTTTAAAAAACTCGGCCAACACTTTGCAGAGGCCACTGCCGCCTACGTCAATGTTTTGCATGCATACTGCTAGATGGGTGCACTCAGTGACATTTTTTAAAATCAATACTTTTTGTCGGGGCAAATTTCGCCTAAAAAAAAATTGTTTACAAGAATGCAGGAGAGATGTACATGTATACAGTATTTGAAAGAAGGAACATATACCTCAACAAACAAGAAACAGGCTGATGGGAACCATCAATAGTAAATGTCATTGACTTCCACTGTGTTTTTGTCTGTACTGGTGTAGGGCAAACTTTCAGTAGTGATCATACATGTAAATAAACCTTTTGCGAGTTAGATTTGTATATAATCTGGTACAATGATTTCTTAAAGTTCACGTGAATTCGAATTCTCCATACTAAAGACACTGTTGCTATACCTCATGATTCGGGGCAAGCTTTTGCTTAGTTACACAAGAGACACCTTGCACCAATACTCTGTTTTCAATGGATAAGAAGGGCACAAAGGAACCAGTCCATTCCAGAGATGGTGATCGCTATGCGAAAGCTTGCCTCGAGTCACGAGGTATGGCGACAATGTCTTTAGTCTGCGGAATTCAAATTGTTATGTTTATGTACAATCAGATAACTCAGTGTACCAGATTTTATTCAAATTGAAATCACAAAAGGCTCATTCTCCAGTGCTTTCATATGTAAATGTGTCATCAGTTTGTGCACTTCTAAAGAACTGGAACTGTTGAATCATATTGTCAATGATGCACATCTGCATGTACTAACTATTTTACACAAAAAAAGTGCAAAGTGAATGTACATATACTCATGGTGTGTTTGTACATAGTCGGTTGGCATGAAACATGTTCATGTACATGTATGTTCGCTTGTGTACGGTATATAAGTAATACAGATCTGCAATGGACACCAGCTCAGAGATAACAGTAATTTTGCTGAAATTCGTGTACATGTATGATGAAAACTGTACATATATGTACCGGGTAGTGTGAGTACCATATTTGTTATGTTTTTGAAGGAATGCCTAATGGATTTAAACAAAGTGAAACTCTAAAGAAGTTCTCGAAAGTGAAAGTGTGTCGCTCGCATTTCCGTCAAATTGTTGAGCTAGTTTGCACTTCCAAAAATAGGCTTCATAAAAATAACTGCGTGTGCAGTAAGTGAAGTGCCGGTCTGTCGGGCCTCAAAATTCTATGTACAGTGCACCATACATCATTTCGCTGTTCAATTCAGAAGGGAACTTCGAAACCATTTTTGTAAATTTTAATTGTAATGTGTGTGCCCCCGCATTTCAGAGAAAAAAAATGCTCTCTCGGGGGTCAGGCTTAATTATGTCCTAAACCATTTTCCACGCCTGCCTGTGGCTTCTCTTGTCTTGTGGAGATCTGCCAGAGAAGTGGAATGTTCTCCACTGTGAGTTGATGCTGTTGTTTTTCCACAAAAGCATCTGTTAAATGATCAAATCTCGTGAGATGCGGTCCAGATATGATTATAGGCTGGACTGAATTTGTCATCGGGGGATTATCCTGTGCACGAAATCGGCCCATCAAGGCGTCCGAATGCATCCATTCAGAAGTGGATGTTGTGTGCTTGTCAGCCTTCGTTAACCCTAACCTTCCCTAACCACACAGAATTGAACACCAGTAAAGCGTGTGAATTTGTGGCACTGGGTACTGTACCCCTAAACTGCTCGTGCTTAAACATGGGTTCAGGCGGACCCAAAATAGACAGATTCCAACAGTTTTTGTGCACAGTTTACCATATGGTGTTGGAATTTGTGTGAATGGGTATGGTTCCTAAGAAATCACTCTGGGGAATTAGAGTTAATGTGCATCAAACGCACAGCACCGTGTCTGTCATGTTGAACTACTTACCTACAAATGTAGAAACTTGTGTATGTTGAATGCATACACTGGCTCCTGAAAGTAATTTTGTATTTTTTAGACTTGTGAAGAGAGAATTTTTCTGGAATTTCACACTTGTATAGGCACAGGACAAGGCATGCTTGCCCTACCTTAGGCAAAACAGACACCATGGTTTTTACAGAATGGCAGGGACCAGATGACATTTTCATGTCTCGAGAATTGTATATCCAATTGAGGATCAAGCATTATAGGAGAAAGCCTGTTGAGTTGAAGGCAGAGTGTCTGTGGTGATTTACATGTACGCATTGAGTGCTCATAACCCATTGCACTAAAGCTTTCTGACCTTTGGATTGTTAGAGAAGCCTACTAGTGAACGGCGTTCGCTCTCCCACAGAATAATTTTTTGTATATTGGGGAGGAAGAAAAAAGAGGCTGCTTTGGTGAAACAGAGAGACTTTTGTGTCGTTGCAACAGTAGGTCAGTTGCTGAGCTACGGGTATTCCGCAAGAATCCAGTTAGGTAGCTGAAGCTTTGAAGCGCAGCTTCGTTGTCCACCGTACCGGGCAGAGGGGCCCGTTTGGCACGTCCTGGTGCACTGCTGAGAATCCAAGTTTATGCGTCGGGATCTCGTGTTTGGTGTCAGTTCTTGTCACACTTGTTCATCGGATTTAATGCAAACCTGCTCTGCGGTAGGCCAGAGAAATTCCCGAGGGTCTCAGCCCACCAACATGGCCACCACAGTGCCTTATGCGATGTCATCCACACACCCTCTGTCAGTGGCGCATCCACATTTTGGTTCCAGAGGAGATAGTATGGGGATTTTTTTTCCCAAATTTTTTTTTTTCATCCATTTAAAGAAATCATCACACCCCCCAAAGCCGGAATGTAGTGATACCATTTCTAAAGTGTTGGGGCTTTCAATTCCTTAAAAAATAACAATTTAAATTTCCAAATTGGAAACAAGTTCTTCCCTTCCTCCCCCCGTCCCCATTACACACCACTGCCCTTGTACCTCAACAGTTCAGCATTTCCCAACCCCTGGTTAAA